AAAAAAACTGATTAACGAAATCTTGACCGAAGATGCTCAGCAACCTAATAGAAAGTGTGAGTAGTTACCCACGATGGTCATGCATGCTTGTAACATACGGTAGCACTTGCGCAACCACGCCGAAGGATACGTTATCCGTGAATGTATTATCCATGTGGTATTATTATTTGTTAAGGGGGAAAACTGTAAATTTGGCCAACAAATTTGCACAAGGATAGATGTACGAAGTTTATACTTGCTCCCCTTTTCCGGATTTATGCTTCACCCCAAATTAATATTCCAAATACACGGAAATAGGCAAAAAGAGAGCCCGTATCCGGCGACTCAATTAGTGCCAAGTTGTCAGATGGAAAAGTCCGTTGTTGATACTCCGGAAGAGGTATGATTGCATTCCAGAGTAAGAGTTTTGGTACGTAACACCGTTTTATTGCTGGCTTTTTGCAAATGCGGAATTGGTTTGATGTCATCAGCTCTTTTCAAGCGAAAATCTATGTGAAAGAGAATGCACATAACATGAGGTATCAGGTCAATTTAAATGTACCTATTTTTCAAGCTCTCGTCTTAGCTAACGGGCCTAGAATTACGAGAAGAGCGCAAATAGTGAAGCTGGTTTTGCACTAGGCTGTAGTATAGAGTCTACTTGATGGTACCTAAGGAACTATTTGAAATATCACTGCGCATATTTCCTACATTTTCTCCGCATGCAGCAGCTTGGAATGGAGTATTACATCTAGGGCAGAAACACCCTTCGGAGACATCGGTATGATGCGTGCTAATGAGCTAATGACGTAAGCAAACTAGGCTGAGCACTGAATATGGAAAAAGGATACTAAGCTTCATGTTATACCTAGGCCTAGAGAACATAAGTAGATGCCATTGTCCGCTGCTCGAGTTGAGAGTTTTAACAATAAGAAAGTAAAAAGGAATTTGAAACACTATTCACTATGGGTCCTAAAAGACAGACCCTTTTCTTTTTCTATTGCCTGCTGGTCGGCTTTGGTCTCTTAAATGACACTGGATTAGTTTGTGATGACCTTTAGATCTTCAATCAGGCAGTGGAGTTCCTAGGTAGTGACGTATCTGTTATTTTCCTTGGTGGCAGTGGTTTCCGGAGTTTCAGTCACTCCAGTTCCTCCATCTCACAGGCTGTTCTGATCTCTGAGTCGCTTTTTCCTTCGCGTTGACTCGCTTGGTGGGAGCTGTTCGGTCCCTTCGAACGTGAATATCTCGTTGACCCTTGACGCGTTTTGTTGGGGTGCGGCACCCCTTGCGGATGGGCCACCATCGGGCCGCTTTTAGTTCCCGTTCAGGGGTTCAACCAGCGGTTCCACCACGAGTTTGCCAGTCCAGTCTGAATATCTTCCTCTGAGTACAGTTGTTCTGTTCTTCAGGCTGTGAATAATCATGCAGCCGTTCTCGAAATCGGCTTGACCAACAAACATTTGAAGATTATTTTCATGGCCCACTGCCAAGGCCTTAGCGTAAATTTGTTACTGGGGCGCTCCTGTCTTAAAACAAGGGGCCGGTGTATTTCTCGTGAATGTGCCACAGAATTGTGCTTTCTCATCCGCATCATTTTCTTACGTAACGGCCAAAAGGCCATGCATAGTTAACTAACCAAGTCTAGCTACTGATGGAGTGCAATTAGAGTCACATCGAGTTTAGCAGACGCCACATGCGTGGCAAACAAGCGCCATCGCCCATACCTATAAATTCACCGATAGTCCAGGCCCTCCTTTAGCACAGGTATTAGAAAATAACACAGAGATAATGTTTCCAAAACTGCGTCGCCTTGATTGATTTTAGTTATATTATGAAAAGATCCAGGGCTTGTTCTTGGCGTGTGAGAGTCGTTGAGGATCAACTTTGAATATAAGCACCCGTCCTAATGTGCAGCCGATACAGATAGCCGATGTTGTAACGTCGGAGACACGGGGCCGGTACTCGGGGGGTAACCATAACAAATTCAAGCATTCGCCGCGCTGCAGAGATATGCAATTTGCCTAGATCTACCCTGCAAGCCGACTGAATGGATGCCAATATCGAATTGAAAAACGCAGCCATAATCACCGACTATCTCCTACGCAGGAAGAATCATTAGTGGAATGGATACTATCTAGGGATCTGCGCGGAGTGCCCCCTAGGCCATCTCATGTGCAGGAAATGGCTAATATTCTTCTCCAAGCAGACAATCCCTCTGGATTCAAACCTATCGGTAAGAACTGGTTGTCTACCTTTATCAAACGGCGTGATGAGATCAAAACTCAATATGGTCGACGATACAATCATAGTCGAGCTCAATGCGAAAATCCAAAGGCTATTATAGGGTGGTTTAACTGCCTACAACAGATCCAATACAATATGGCATCTCCCACGAAGATATCTACAACTTTGATGAAACGGGCTTCGCAATGGGCTTAATTGCGACTTACTCAAGGTAGTAACAAGAGCCAGTATGCCTGGAAAGCCTCATCTCATTCAGCTAGGCAATCGGGAATGGGTTACAACGATTGAATGTGTTGATACCACTGGCTGGGTGCTTCCATCTTGTATAATCTTTCAAGGGGAAGGTTCATTTTGAGGAATGGTATCAAGATGATACTTTACCACCTGATTGGAGAATTGAAGTCAGTCAGAATGGATGGATGGACAACGGATGAGATAGGCCTTCGATGGCATCAAAAGGTCTTTATCCCTGCAACAACCAGCCGTACAGTTGGAAGATATCGTCTACTCATTCTAGATGGCCACGGGAGCCATCAAACTATTCCTCAATCTGTAGAGAGACTAATCTCAGGTTTATGACTTCTTCCAACGCAACGTTTGTGACAACAACCCTAGGCTGTGATGCAACTGTTACAAGCTTGCAATCGCTGCCAGTATAATACTGAATCCAGTGTACACCATACCCATAATACCAGCTGTTTGCAAGTTAACACAGGCGTCACTAGCATATACCCCTAGCCCGTTCAAAACTGTACCACAGATTGCGAATAGAACAGAAAACAGAACAAACGGGGGTTTCCAACCTTTGCGAAGCCATTCATAGATACCACCCCCTCCTACTTGGACGCAAGTGAACAATAACCATAAGAAAAAAAAGAAGCCTAAGAAGATCTACGCCAAAGTAAGTGGGCTGTTTACTAAGGAGCTTCGCGAATTTGATGCTTATAGTCGGAATTAGAATCATTGCCAAGTTTCCCTTATGACAGGTGGCATATTTCGCCTGCTGCTGCGCAGCAAACGACACCCAGTCATCTTTAATAGCAGCTGTTATTGGTGGAGCGCCCGACCGGGGATTTAATCTATGTGTAGGAGTCAGTGAAAGAGACTTTCGAGGATCCTTGAAGGATTAGACATACAGACGTCAACGCTCCCGTACACTCATCTCTGGCCAGCGCCATCGGTGTAGTAACAACTCCTATATTTGAGATGCAGAACATAATTTGTGCATAAGATATACTAGCACTTTAGAAATGAGATAAGAAAGGAACGTGCTAGTCCGTGGATAAGTCCGGAGACATTATATGGTCGACACCTTGGCTCGGGAAAGAGGATGAATGATGCACGTCTAGTCTGACGCTTTGGAGAAGGGTAAATACATAGTAAGTACCCGGGTCCGTCCTCGAATGACAAATTATGTTTATAAACGAAGAATCGTCCCAATACCTGCGGTGCATTCCAACTTCAAAGGTTTCGACGTAAATGGAGGACGCTGCCACCACTTGTTGCCGCAAACGGGAGGTGTGCTAGTCCTCACATAAAACAAACCCGTGAGTTTTTCAGATAACATTAACCAATCAATCTCTGCTGAATCACAACGCATTGACTTTCCTGTTTGCATACGAATGACTGCAGATTACAGGAACCAGAGCTTCACGAGCCATGTTAATAAATCGATGCCATATAATGCTATGACGTTGACGAAGCTAAATACTTGACAGAGTCAGGAATGAATGTCAATAGGGGCCAGCATAAGAGGGTTCTAAATTCCAAGCACGCGTTTGCATGATTGATGCTAATCTCATATGCTTAGACGCATTAAAATAAATGCGCCAGTTAAGCTCCGCACGGATCGCGTTTTTAGATTAACTTTTCTCCCCAATCTTCCTCCCTAGTAATTGCCTTAGCCCTTATCTTCCCCAAGCAAGGGCATCCAGAACTAAAATCTACTGCAGAAGAAAGTTAACATGACGGCAACTTTGCTGAGTGCAAACAAGTCAAACTTCCTCTCCGCAGGCACTCAGCAGGACACGTCAGCAGGACATGGGTTGAGCGGGGTCACTGGGTGTGCAGTATTGAGGTTCAGGCGGTTCAGCTGAGCTTCAGGTGAACAGGCTGAAGAGAAAGCGGCGAGGGCGCTAAACCCAACGAATCAAAAAAACAAGGTGAACTCCGACATACAACAGCCGGGATTCGCTGGTGGTCACCAACCCAACTACTAGCCGGCCGGCGTGTGGTTTGAACGCGGTCAATACCCAAGTGAGTGCCCTCGCGGGTGATGGGGGGCTGATGCCCCTTAAACGAGTTGGTGATTAGCGTGGGTGTAGTTTAGAGAGATGCTGATGTCTGGAGAATACATCACCCCTTGTGGACCTCGCATCGTGATGGGACGTAGTTGACGGGATGATCCACCAGGCGCTACACCACCTGTCTTGGTTGGATAAATGAGAGAAAACGCCGAGTGTTCCGCCATCAGTGCATAGCCACGGTCTTTGCTCCTTTTGGAAGATGCTCGAATAAGCCTGAGTAGCCCGCGGACAGAAAAATCTTATGCAAAAAGAAGCAGTTGATCATTGATCGCGGAGTCTGCCTGACTGGTCGTCGCTCCCTTTCCTGGCCTGCTCAACCACCTGGGCTCCTGAATCTACTCTCATTCACTAGTCCTTGGGCCGCGGCGCGCTGCGGGTGCGGTGCCGCTTTTGTCTCCTATGATTGCTCTCCCGCACTGGTTCCCGATCTGCCCATGTGCTAGGATATGAATATAACCGATGATAATAATATAGGACGCTATGGCAGGCTATGTCATTTGAACCTTCCAGAGAATAAGGAAGTCTGTCCACTTTATCTTAGAACACTTTTTCTCGACCCCTCCTCGTCGATGTCTGCACCAAAGAAGTACTATATTATCGGCCAGGGCATATCACAGAGCCTGTCCCCAGTCATTCACAACACGGGATTCAAGTACCATGGCCTTCCTCATCATTATGAGATCCAAGAATGCTCAGATCTGGATGCTGTGCGCCCGTTGATGGAGGATCCTGCCTTTGGGGGGTCTAGTATTACCATGCCCTACAAGCTGAGCGTATCGGAGTTTTGTGACTCGACTTCTGACTCCGCTGCCACGATTGGTGCTATCAATACTCTAGTTGTTAGGCACGGGCCGGGCCAGCGAAGTGTCCATGGTGACAATACCGACTGGTACGGGCTTTACTGCCTGGTCACCGAGTATCTGATGCAAAATCCACTCGACACGCCGGTCGGTCTTGTCATTGGGGCAGGAGGCGCTGCCCGAGCTGGTGTCTATGCGTTGATCCGGGCTGGAGTTAAACGCGTCTATCTTGCCAATCGCACTCTGGCGACGGCACACAAGGTCGTGCAGGATTTTCGGTCTTTGGGCGATGTCATCCCCGTGAGATTTCCTCCTCGACTTTCGGAGACTCCCGACCTCATTATTGGGACAGTTCCAGGACAGGCTTACCCGACTGAATTCTTTCTTGATTTGTTTCAGAAAAGACGCGGCCTATGCATTGAGATGTCGTACAAGCCTCGCGTTACAAATCTGCTAAGCCTTTCTCTGAAGCAGAGTGGCTGGATGTCAGCCGATGGATTAGAGGTCCTCCTCAGGCAGGCATTTGAACAGTTTCGCATCTGGACAGGCCTGGAGCCGCCGGAGGCCGTCATGCGGGAAGCAGTGGCCCATGAGATTAAGAGAAGATAGAGTAGCTTATAATTCTTCGATTGTGGCTGAGACCTTACAGACCGCGGTTTTTATAGATATATGTCTTTCTACCTGAAGAAGATCATAGATGACGGACCACATTCGTTGACAGCTATGGGAAATTCCACGTATACGGATTTCTTCAACATTATGATACACAGATGCAGGCAGATACCCAAAGCCACGGCCGTGGCCATTTCAGTTCCCTTGAATCAGATTTCTCGCCGCATGTTGAATGGCAGCTTCGTATCCGTAGGTTCCCAGGCCAACTAAAATTGCTGACGCTTTATCCGACAGATAACTATGATGCCTAAACGGCTCCCTCGCGTGTACATTGGTGATATGGACTTCGATAAACGGAATGCAAACGCCAACTAAAGCGTCGCGCACACCAACACTTGTGTGTGTTAATGCTCCAGGATTGATGATGATGACATCGATGCGATCCCGGCCGGAGTGGATTCGATCGATAATATGGCCTTCATGGTTCGATTGGAATGTTTCGAGGTCTATTCCGTAGCTTGCAGCAACAGCTTTGGAATTCTCCTCAACATGTCGGAGGGTAGTGGCGCCGTATAGATGGGGTTCGCGGGTACCCAGGAGGTTCAGGTTGGGCCCATTGATGAGGAGAATAGATGGCATGGTGGATTCAAGGCAATCTCATGGATTTTTATGGTTGTAGTGGCTGGCACTGGGAAGCAATATGATAGACTTAAGTACAAGTCCAGCATGTACGAGTGGATGCAAGGCTATGGATTTAACCGTGGGTGGGAGAACCTACGTTTCGATGACCGAATACGCTATCTATTGGACCCCGTAATGTCGTACTAGATTAGGTACGTTTCACCCACACAAAGTCATTCTCTAGGCGTTGCATTTGAACCATTGTATATCCGAAATAGACGCCATGGTCGCGCACAAGCCCAATCACCAGGCAACATCCCTCCCCTCCACCCAGTCGCGGGCTTGTACATACAACAGGTCATGCTTCTGCCCATTCACACTGGATCCCTCTCGCCGATGTCCAGGGAGGTCGAGTAGAACTCTGACCCCCATTGTGGATTCCTGTAGATACGCCAGATGCCGGTACCCTGGCGGATATTGCTGCAATCTCTCCAAGTCGATCGCGGGATCACGACCAGCAGTAACCGCGATTAATTTGTCTTTCTCGTACCAGTGTCTCACAAACCGAGCACGCCATTGCTGATCCATTTCCGGATATGCGCGGTCTGCCAGTTTCTCCCAAAAGAAAATGAATCGACAATCGCTCTCGGCATCAGCTTCACAGGTGCCACCGGAGGCACAGGGGAGGCCAGAGAACCTCTGTGTGATGGTGGCTTTCATTTTGGTCACGGCGCGCACTCCACTGGGATCGATGTCTGTTGTGCTCCCATGGACGCGATGCATAATGAATACACCCTTATCCATTCCCGCCTTTGAAGCCTCGATGAATTGGAGGTGATGTGTGAGACCTGTCCAGGTGGTGTAGATGTGGGCATCCGGGTGGAAAATCGAGCGCAGGTTCTCCCACTCGCATGCATCACGATAGCACGGCCATCCCTCCGCCAGCTCCCGAAGTTTATACCGCTCGAGGGCAAGATGTGACGGTCCGTTATTGCGGATTGCGTGTTCCGGGCGTGAGCCCGCAGGAAGGGTGTGCAGATCAGGCATAATAACGGTGCAGCGTTAGCTAACAAAAAATCTGCAGGATAAAATTGAGAGCTTTCAGAAGGAGAAGATGCTCAGTGGAAAAATAGTTGCTGGGAAACCCAACATGGATAAGCCGAAGTACAACTGATCACGGCCGGCTAATACTGGCTCCGGACGGCTGTGACATTTAGCGATGAGCAAACCTGCGCTTAGAGACAAGCTCCTTTATTTGTTTTCTCGTTCAAAAAGGACAATACTTCCTCCAGCAGCAAAGGGGATTCAAGTCTCTGTCTCCGTCAAAATTATGGGATCTCGCGCATACACTTATCTCGTTGGTATCGGCGTCACACATTCGATAGCCCCGCCTATGCACAATTATATCGCCAAGTCATTGGGCTATGATTGGGAATTCCGTGCTCAAGAATGCCCGTCAGTTGAGCATGCCATCAACCTTTTCCGCCAGCCAACCTTTGCCGGAGGAGTGGTGACGATGCCCTATAAGCGAACGATCATGGAACATCTGGACGGACTGGACGAATACGCAACAAAGCTGGCCGCTTGCAACAACGTGTACCGGTCCTCAGATGGACAGCTGAGAGGCACCAATACTGACTGGAGAGGCATCGAGGGGTGCCTTCTGAGCGCTAGCACCGAAGGCAAGGGGAAGCCCGCCGTCGTGATCGGTGCGGGTGGCGCATGCCGTGCAGCGATCTTCACCTTGCATGAGAGGCTGGGCTGCAGTCCTATCTACGTCGTGAACCGTGATGCAGATGAAACCGCTTCACTCTTCAAAGAAACCAAGCAGAATTACGAGCAAAGCCTTCAATTGGTGCACGTACAGTCTGCGGAGCAAGTGCAGGGTTTAGCAGCGGCCTACTATATTGTGGGAACGGTGCCCGACGCAGAGCCGACCGCCCCAGAAGAGCTGCAAATCCATCAGGTCCTTAACGCATTCCTGGAGGCTGCAGGGGGAAAAGGGGTTCTATTGGATATGTGCTTCAAGCCTAGAAATACGCGGATTCTGCGAGCCGGGAAGGCCAGAGGATGGAAGACAGTGGAGGGAACCGAGGTCATTGGGCATCAGATCCACGAGCAATACCGCTTGTGGTGCGGAGAGGAGCAGAGTAAGAGGATCCGTACAGAGGAGGCTTGGGCGGTTCTTCGCAAAGCAGCGGAGGAAAGCCCAGCCATCAACTTCTAACACTGCCCACTAACGGCACCTACGGCTGAGGATATAACCGATAGGCGGGTAAGCACATAGAGCCGGTAGAGAGGCGATAGTTTAAAGAAGTATCGGCGGCGAAGCCATGGTTCAGATGATTCCCGACTCCTCTCTCCCTAATCATGACTCCCATTCTTGCAAAAAGCACCATGTCTTTCTGCAGGCCGGCAATAGCTTCGATGTCTCTTGGAAGAGCATGGGTCCATCCGCTCTCCGAAAAGCTCTCACAAGCAGCCCATGCCGGTTTCGAAGGCGTGGAGATCTTCTACGAGGATTTAGAATATCTAGCCAAGGAAAAAGGCTCTCTCAGGAATGAGACCTTATTTGCAGCGGCTCACGAAATTCGGACAATGTGCGACCGGCACGGGCTCGAAGTAATCGGGTTGCAGCCTTTCCTGTTCTACGAAGGATTGATTGATCGAGCTCAACATGAGCAGAGACTGCAAAAATTGAAAGTCTGGTTTCGGATTGCGAAGATCCTGGGCACCGATATCATCCAGATTCCATCGAACTTTCAATCCGACGGGATTTCCGGGGACCGAAACTTGATTGTTGCCGATATGATTGAGGTCGCCGACCTGGGGCTGAAGGAGACCCCAGTCATCCGCTTTGCCTATGAGAACCTGGCTTGGGGCACTTATATCTCAACCTGGGAGGATATGTGGGATATTGTCCGTCGCGTTGACCGACCCAATTTCGGATGCTGCCTTGATACCTTCAACATTGCCGGCCGGGTCTGGGCAGATCCCGCAAGCCCCTCTGGAAAGACGTCAAATGCCGACATGGACTTGAGGAAGTCCATTGAGAGCCTCACACAAATGATCGATGTGAGGAAGGTTTTCTATATACAGGTGGTGGATGCCGAAAGAATGGAGTCGCCATTAGTCCACGGCCATCCATTCCATGTTGAAGGCCAACCCGCGCGTATGAGCTGGAGTCGCAATGCAAGGTTGTTTCTGTACGAGGAGGAGAAGGGAGGGTATCTCCCTGTGGTACAAGTAGCTGAAGCCTTCCTGAAGGGCCTTGGTTACAGGGGATGGGTTTCAATGGAACTTTTCTCCAGGACCATGGCAGATCCAGACCCCACCACCCCCCAAACACACGCACAAAGAGGCATCCGGGCATGGAACGGGCTGAAGCGGGAGCTGAGGCTGTAATTAACATCAGTTGTACCTCTAGAGAAGGGATGGATGTCTTAGAGTGCTTTCGCCATGTCACTCGTGATCCAAATAGCGAAGGGAATCCAGAAATTCCGAGTCTATGTCCCCAGCACAAAATCCTAGATTATGAGCAAACGAAGGTGCGTTCCTGTTCAGGATTAGTCAGAAACAGAACAACAACAGCAACAACAGTGACGATATAGTTTAAAGCATACTCTGTAGGCATGACAGATGTTGCTAATTCTTCGAGCACTGCATCAAAGGATCTACACTCATCAGATTCATGCGTTTGGCGCGGGGTATGAACAGGCGCTGAGTCCATCTCGTCTAGCCTGCTTTGGGGACGGGAAGTAGAGGACTCAGAAATATCTCTGCCGTCATTCTTGGGCGTTCGGACCTGTTGGGAACCGGCTCCTGCCGCATCCTGGACGCGCGGGTCATGTAAATGAATTGGTCCGCTGTCCTTGCTGCTGCATCCTGAGGAACTGGTCCAGTCAAGCGTCAACCTCATCTCGGCCAGTTGGTTTAACAGTTCGTCTTGTGGAGAATTGTCATCGGTTATGACTTCCAAACGGGAAGCCCACTCTGCTTGCTGAAGAAACCAGCGTAGTAGAGGGGATGTCCTTGTTGTGCCCGCAATTTCAATATAAAGTTTCAGCAGGTGAAGTGTAGATCGCACACTCGCTTTCACGAAGGCTACCATGGATGAGTCGAGTGGACGGATCTTGCAGGCGATCCGTAAAGTCACAAACTCCGAGGCCAGATGCAGGGTCAACAACGCAGGGTTATGACTTGAGGCGACGGGATACCGGCTAGCGAGGGTGAGCTTCCAGTGCTGCAAATCGGCCATAAGCCTGTCGGCATTATCTCGGGCCGGTTGAAGGTGAAGCACGCGAGCCAGCTGCTGAGCGAGTTGACTGCTCAAATTGAACGCACTCAGGGCACGCAGGGGCCCTTTCTTTGCCAGGCCGTGCATTCGATTCTGTTCCCAAAGAAACGGAACCCACACATCCCATTCTTCCAGTCCATTCTCGTCAATCGGATCGTATTCGCTCTGAATCTCGCCAGACAGGCCCGGAGTCTGCCCCGTAAGAGCAGATACTATAGTATCAAGGAAGCAGCAGCCATGATGCGTGCGGCCATACCGGGCTTCTCTCGCTGAGATAGGCAATATGGCCAGTAATCTCTCCGCCTGTCCGAGTTCAACCCATGCTTTTGACAGATTTCCAATACCAATGTCTAACAGCACAAGAACAAGCAATGCCTCGACATGGCTATGCTGGAGTGTACCTGAATCCTCAAGAATCCGTGACTGGAGGAAGGATTGAATTTGCGCCCGACAGGCATAACGTTCTGGATTCGGCCCATCTTGGGCAATTGAAACATACAGAATGATTGTCCAGAGGGTTATCCGGTACCCTGCGATTGGGTCATCTGGGGTGCTAGGGTCGCTGTGCATTGACCGGAGAATGTCTCGACGCTCAAGGATAGGGAACCATGAGTGAACGTGAGAGAAATAGTAGTCCACTATTTGGACTATATTCTCGGGTAGTGGCCAAGCTGCAATATCGCTGGCTTTGTTCACTGAGAGGCTCTTAGATTGTGGTGGGTGCTCCTGACGGTTGAATAAGTTAGATGGCGTCCACATGAGGTCCGCAGACACAGGCGTATTCATTGGCTCCAGCACCAACTCAGGTTCCAGCTCAGGCACCAGCTCCTCATCATCAGATATTTTTGTCATAGAGGGATCAAGGATTTGCATTGTTTCCCTTGATAGTTTGGACCCTCTCCAAACGGCAATATACCGTTCACTCAAATCGCTACCCAGGAAATCGCCTCGAGGACTCATATCCCGAAGGATAGCCTTTACAGTGGTCTCGCTGTTGGGCACATGCTCAAGGACAATACCAAGAATCGCCTGAAGCGCCCCCACGTAGCCAGACTGTAGTCCACGCCGTCGGCCACTCGGATGGTACGTACAACTGCGTCCCGCTGCGTGGCAGATGAAGCAAACGGGCTGTGCGCCATCACACTTGGATTTCCGGCGCCGACACTGGTCGCAGGCACGACTAATGCGCTGCCGCTTTGATGGGCGAGAGTCAGGCATCGCCTCGTCCAGTCTGGAATACAATGTGGCTATTCTGACCAACCTGCTCGTTCAGCCACCGGCCCTCGGATGGAACCGACATGGCTGAGTCATGTGAGCGGGTAGAGTCTTAGCCGCCATATCAACGCATGACATCTCCGGAAAGTCTGCCGTCTGCTTGGGATTCGTGTGCTAATGCCACAGCTGATTGACACCGAACTCAGCCAACTACACTGCCTGAGACTGAGCCGGTATGTCCGACAACGTCGGCACCGGCCTCGCTGCACATCCAGCCAAAAGCACCATCTCATTTGATCAGCACCATAACCCGGACGCTTCCCTGGTTCTGATTGGATTCCCCGGTGCTGGGAAGAAAACCCTGGGTATAATGGCTTCTATGGGTCTTCGTCGTCGATTCGTTGACTTTACTGCCCACTTTAAAGACGAGTTTCATATCTGTCCTCAAGCCTATATTACACAGTACGGATCAGCACGTTATCTGGAAGCAGAACTGTGCCTCTATCGTGATTTGCTGGCAAATTATAGTCGTGGATGTGTAATAGTTGGGCCCGGATGGATTATTAGCAGCGAGTTACAGACCCTATTTAAAGAATTCGCACTACGACATCCAATAATCTACATCCAAAGAGATGAAAAGGCCTTGAGGCAATGCATGGTCACCAGTCCCGAGACTTTTGACCGTGTTTTACAGACTGGACACCGAGTTTTCAAATCATGCTCGAACTTTGACTACTATAATCTTTCCGAGGATCCCATCCCGGGGGCTGAAAATTCCCAACCATCATATCTCAAGCTTAAGGAGACGGAGAAATCCTTTGTAGGGTTCCTGAACCATATCTTTGGGTGCCAGGATCGCTTGCGCTATTCGGCAGAACTGTTCTCTGCGTCTCCCTCATATGCTCTCCAGGTGCCACTAGCTTGGCTGGAAGAACCATCCCAGAACTACCACGCACTAGAAAATGGAGCAGATGCCGTCAGCTTGGTTGTTGATGCAACAGAGATAGCGGATCACCACCTTGCTGATAAGCTAGCAAAGAGTGTGGCCCTTATACGAAGGCATTCGCGGGCCCCCCTCATTGTGGATGTACAGACGCCGGAAAAGACACAGATCTCCGGCTATCTCATCGTCCTGGCGCTCGTTGTTCGCCTGACACCAGACGTCTTGACCTGCTCATTAATCTACCATGATGAAGATTTTAGGCGACTACTTGGAAACATCAACCGAACAAAAGTTATCGCCACGTTCCATCAACAAACACCATTGGAATGGAGTGAAGAAGACCATCGCAGGTTTATCTCGATGTGCAATCGGGCGCATAGGCTCGGATGCGCGGCTATTCGAATAACAGGAGAGTCCCGGTCCTTGGAGGACAATCTGGGTTGCGTTAGCTTTCTGCAAAACATCAGCAGAATATCTCCTCTATGTGTCATGGCTCATCACGTTGGTTGTGCGGGCCGTCCTTCAGTCTGCCTTAACCCTGTATTGGCACCTGTGGTTCTTGAGTCAATGAGACACAAAGGAGTCACACTGCAGGAAGCGCAGTTATCCCTTTCAAGCTGTTTTCTCTACAAGCGGAAGAGATTCCACATCATCGGCCGGGAGTTGTCATATAGCTTGTCCCCAGAAATGCACAATATGGCGTATTCTGCATGCGGATTCCCTCATGTCTATTGTTTAACAGAGACCCGAAGTCTGTCTGACATTAATCCCCTCCTGAACGCCGATGATTGTGGGGGCGTTGCAGTATCTCTTCCCTACAAGTCAGAGGTACTAAAGTACCTAGACGAGGTTAGTGAGGATGCCAGTAACATCAATGCAGTCAATACTGTGGTGATAGAGATGCACAATCGTCCGGGAGAGCATCCGCGACGCCTACGAAAGGGCTATAACACGGACTATGTTGGCATTCGTAATTGCGTGTATCAACATCTTTCACCCGCAAACGGTATCCGTGATGGTACAGCAGCTCTGATTATTGGTGCTGGTGGTATGGCACGAGCAGCTGTGTATGCCTGCTATCAGCTCGGTGTTCGGAATATTTGTATATTCAACCGGACCCCTCGCAACGCGGAAACGCTGATCGACTATTTTACCCAATGGTCGGCGTGTAGACCTGAACCCCCCTTAACTTTTACGCTGCTCCAATCAACGGATACTTGTTGGCCGCCTCAGCTTCGTCTACCGACTATTGTCATATCATGCATTCCGTACGTAGAAAGTGACAATAAGTCAACGCCTTTTCAAGTACCAGAGAAATGGCTCAGCAGCAAGACCGGGGGCGTTTATATGGAGGTATGATACTTACCCTCGTCGTCCTAACGCATTGTCACACTGTCACTAACGTTGTGATACAGGTAGCATACGGTCCACTGAAAACTGCATCCTTGAGAGAGATGGAACAATACAAGTCTAGAGGCTGGATTGTCGTTGATGGGTTTACTGTTCTGCTGGAGCAAGGCATCGCGCAGTATGAACTCTTTACCAGGAGACCGGCACCCGTCCATGTAATGAGAGAGACTATCCAGCAATTCAAAGCTCGCTCATAGCCCATATTGATAGCTAAACGCAGATTTTCTCCAGTGGGTTTGTGATCCCTAGCACGCCAGTCTTCCCTTTTCCCTCAGTCTTTGAGACAATTGCATGGCGGTCCGTATTCGTATACTAATATTTATTGTCTATTCTTTATGGCTATTGTCAGTAAGAATTATTAGATTAATCGAAATATAATTTTGTTTATTGGCTATTTAGAGTAGTTTTGATTTGTCTAACTGGAACGTAGGCGCGCTCCTCTCCCTGCAAATAAAGAATACTCGGCCGTTATGATTTCTTTACGATAGTCGACATAGGGCAGCAGACGTGCAAAGGCTGCAGCCCGGAGAAAAGCTATATAACTCTGCAAGTCTCAGCTGCTCCTCTAGTAATTTTTGCAACTTAGCATCTTAGGATGCCATAGTCACATAATGTCACGTGAGATCTCAGAGGGGGAAGCTGAGAGGATTAAATCTTACACAGATTCAGTAATAATCAAGTTCATCTTTTTAACCTTCAGGGCGCAGAACCTATTAAAAGCAGCTAAATCACTATTTTCCTTTGTAGTCAGCTGCTAAGTCGGCCTTTATCACCCCCCCCTGGGAGCCCTCATCACCACTGGTAAGCCATTATCACCAGGGGTGATGGGGGCCCCTAGAGTCCTTACCCGCATCACCAGCACTCATACTAAAGCATCACATCGCTGCTTTAGAGGCAAAAGGGCTTTCTAGGAATTGACCACATTCTATAATGGGCTTAAGTACGGCTGAGCGGACGGGAAGCCCTGTTCTCCACACCCTATGGTCGTATGTGCTAGGTTTGAGGCATCCTTATAGAATGCATTTAAATATAATCACACAGAGCTATACAGTTCCAAGTAGCTAGATTCAGCTTAATGGCCCTCAGATATAATGCGCAATGATATGATCCAGCTATCCTTAATTATCTCCCAACAAGTGTAAGTGTGTAACTGTACTCTTTTAGTCACGAGGGCACAATAGCAAGAGATTTCAAGGCAAGAAAGACACATTGTTAGCTGTTATACAACGCTAATTAATGCTAAAATGCTTGTTGCTTCACCAATAACATATCAAAACCAAGAGGGGCTACCTCAGATATGAAACTAACCTAATCTAGATGGCAGTTCCTTAGGTAGAGCCGGATGAAAATAACTATAATAGGAACTATTTTGAATATAGCTTTGCTGGTACGGTATTTGTCCCCAGAAGTTGCAGTGATATTCTGGAACATCTTGACGAGAATCGATCAAGGTGCTACTAACAGCTTCGTGACAGCCCAGATGGCCCACACCACCCGCCATCCTGCGGCATACTAAAACAGCGGCATGGTATATTCATTCTCCTGCAGTGTGCTCTATATGTATAGTGCAAGACCAGCATTGTAAAGTGCAAAGCAGGAGCCCGTAACCTAACTAACTTTGGAGTGATGGATATGGTAGTCTTGGCCCAACAGCTTAGTATATATAGAAAGAAGGAAACGCCCATCCACCTGCATCCAAAACTGAGTCAAGGAACGAGCTAGCTTATTACAGTTGGGTATGATAACTAGCAAGATAATAGAAAGGTGAAAGCGTTAAATCCTTGCACTGCTAAGGCAGAACTATATATTAGGTAAATAGACAGAGGCTGGAAGTGATTCTGAGGTGCAGTAGCAGCGGGCAGATAAATATAGAAGGTAACCTACCATGATTGATTATCTCAGATTTTTCACCCAGATATTCTGTTTGTCGTGTCCCTTATGTTGAGCGGTTGAAGAAGTTGCTTTAAGATTTAGTGAGCTGTGAAGGAGTGTGGGATGGGCAGCACATGCCACCACCTCGTATATCTAGCGTGTGACCTAATATCGTGCCGTTCAACTTCCGCTATGAAGAAAAGTGCGAACGTGGCCAGTGGTTTCTACTGATGATAGATTCGTTAGTAGACCAAAAGCTTGAACTTAACACGAGAGGAGCACGATAGAGTGTTGTTCTTAGGGTTTGGGAGGAGCTCCGCCCGTTAGGTTCTTATCGACCGCTCAGTTCCCGAAGAGGTCCTTTTGGCAGCAAGGGTATACTTCATGACTATTTGGATGTTCATCCTTGCATATCAGACGCTGAATTTGACTGGAATCCTCTTCCTGCATATTCACTGTACAGCAATGTCTCTCAGCGAAATCCGCGGCCGACTCGCTCTTGTTACTGGTGCATCAGGAGGGTATGTGGAATCGAATCACCATTTCTTTACACTATCTTAGCAGCGAAAACAGACTAAAGGACGTAATAATACTAGAATCGGCGCCGCGTGTACTGAGCAGCTGGCACAACATGGAGTCCGCCTTGCTCTGACCTACTCCACCAACCAGACCGCGATGAATGAGCTCGTAGCGTCTCTACAATCCCGATACGAGGACCAACAGCTTCGCATCTCTATGCACCAAGTCGATGTTGGATGTCCAGACCAGATCGAAGCGATGTTCGAGCAGATCGATGCCTACCACGGCCACCGACCGGACATTCTGATCTCGAATGCCGGATACGGGAAACGCATTACTCAAGTTTGGGATATTAGTCTGGAGGAATTCGACAAGATGATGAATATCAACCTTCGTGCTTCGTTCATTCTCGTAAAAGGCGTTGTCGAGCGCATGAAGAGCGAGCGATGGGGTCGCATCGTGTTCATCTCATCAATTGCTGCATACGGGGGAGGGATCAATGGATGTCGTGGGTATGCTCGTTTTCTTATTCTGGCCGTGGATTAACGCTCCTTTTGTCAGACTACGCGGCTTCCAAGGCCGGATTGACTGGAATGATGAAGAACCTAGCTACCCGACTGGCCGAGTATAATATCAGCGTGAATGATGTTGCTCCTGCAATGATTGGGGATACGGGGATGATTGCCAATGCTGCAGCTGTTCCGGAGGTAGTAGCAGGTATTCCTTTAGGTCGGCTGGGGACGCCAGAAGAGACAGCAAATGTCGTGAGTATGTTGGTGAGGACAGGATACATGACGGGCCAGAGCTTACTGCTTGCTGGAGGGTTAAAATGAGCAGTTGACGCCGAGAATTTCGAAAAGGAAAAATGAAAGAAAAGCTCATTTGCTAGAGATGCATACATAGACTCGGGAAATTTTATCAAGCTTGGATGACAACGTAAATTTGTTCGTTGCTATAAGCGATAGAGTCATGGCCAAAGTGATCGAACAGTAGCAGGAGACCCGACAGAATACAGGACCACGAGCAATTTCCCTGGAATGAGTCTCTTATCAAGAGTCTCACGGCAAAGAGTAGACACCCTTGCTCATGCTAGTCGTCTATATGTACTTCCATTGGCAATCGTCATCGCCGGCGCCTTTAAGCGCGAAACTGGAACCAGCATCGCGGACTACTTGCAGTACTACCAAGAACCTTGGCCCGAGCTACAGCTACAATCCTATCCTGAATGCTAGTACCAACATGGTAACATGCTTCAGACATGGATGATCTCATATCATAAGACTCAGAAGCGGGACGCTAACGCAGCGTCGCTGTTACTGCTACTTGCTCACTTTGATAATCGAGATATCTGGTTTGAATTGGTACAGAGTGGTTGTAATAGATTAGATGTCCCGGTGTGGCTCGAAAGGGCTGCAGCGAGCCGGCTTGCGTTTCGAGTTGGTGTGACGACTCTCATAGAGTTATCCCTTCATGAGATTAAGCGACAGGACGGAAGCTATACAATGCATCCAGTGGTACAGGACACTGGCCTTCAAGTTGCTAACGCTGACAAGAATGTGAATTCGCACCAGCTCGATGAACTTACAATGGTATGTGTTGGGTACACCGTCCCTAGTTCAAGTGGCAGAAATTATTACGAGCTTTCGCAACGACTTATTCCACACGAGAATTATATATGTCATGGAGATGGTCAGGCGATAGTATTGCGGTATGGGGAGAATTCCATGGTTTATGCAGGCCTCTATGACGAGCAGGGGAAGCTGAAGGAGGCAGAGGAGATGTGCCAGCGAGCAATGTCAGGCAAGCAGAATGCTGTAGGCCCTGGTCATACCTCCACTCTTGATACAGTCAACAACCTTGGAAGTCTCTACGCTGACCCGGGGAAGCTAAAGGAGGCAGAGGAGATGTACCAGCGAGCACTGGCAGGCGGGGAAAATCTCTAGGTCCTGATCATACGTCCACCTGGTTCCCCTAAGCGTCGTTAAAGCGATGTTCTGGACAAGCTTTCGCAGATTATAGATGTCTCCACCATATTTTCTCTCCCCTTTCCGCCATCAGAGGCTCGATCTCAATGCCAAGCCAGCCCACTGAGCCGTCAGGGTTGATCAAAAACTCCACCCGCGCGGCATGAGGTTCCCCCCACCGTAATGCTATTTGGAGCCAGTGTGTCCCAGAAACATGAAAAAAGTCCATTTCCAAATCTCTGGAATAGTCATTATAATTTGTAAGGAAGGCGCACAAGTCAGGCGTTGTTTGGTTCAGTCCCTGGTAAGCTCGGCCATCCCCGGTACAATTACCGGATATTCTTAGTTTCGGATAGGCTGGGTGTGTGTAGAATCCTTCAAATGAAGAGAAGTTGAGAGGGCTTGCCAAAGGGGGTTGAGGGATTTTAGGGAACAACTCTGATAGTACGTTTTCGGGAAGGTACGTGTCATTAATGATTGCATCGCCTCTATTTCCATTAGATCAGAAACCGAAACGTCAAGAAAGGCAACGACCGGGAACTGAAGGAGAGACTTTTCCGCATACCTTGCAACCCAGTCAAACCGATTCTCAGGGGGAACACCCAATTCTTCATCGATCAAATGATAAGCAAGTACATTCGCGGCCGCATTGATTCCATTCATATTGTTACCTAGCAACACAAGTCCGAATTTTCGTCGTGGGAGGAACATGACGCTTGCACCATATCCGAACTGGGATCCTTCATGGAACAATATCAATTCGCCGTTGTAGACATGCGACATCCATCCCAACCCATAGAGTGTGGGGGATTGGAACGGCTGAACCGGATTCGGTAATACGATAGAGTGGCCACCAAACATCTTGTCGTAAGCTGCTTGAGAAAAAGGATCCCCGCGGTTTAACAAGGTCGAAATCCATTTCGCGTAATCTGATACAGATGACAATATATTTCCTGCGCCTCGAAGGGTGTCTATGAATACTCGATTAGTGGAAATTATATCACCGTCCAAGCCCACAAAGAAGCCTTGGGAAATGTCCCGGTTCGCCTTTCGTGCCTCAGAGAGGGAAAGATAAGTCTCGGTCATATTCAGAGGTAACCAAATATTTTCTGTCAAAAAAGCTTCCAAGGACTTGTTCGTTACGGTCTCGATAAGGTAAGAAGCTACACTGTACATAAGGTTGCAATATTGCCATTCTGTCCTTGGTGAAGCTGTGAATGGAAGATCCCTCATTGATTGTACAGCATCTTGAAGCGTTATGTTAGCCAGCCAAACCCAGTCGTGGCGTGGCAGGCCAGAACGATGAGAGAGTATGTCAACAATCGTCATCTGTGATGTAGCCCAAGGATCTTTGAGTTCAAAGTCGGCTGGCAGAACAGTATGGACCAACGTATCCCAATTAATGGCTGGGAAATTAATGTCATCGTCGACGAGAAGAGAGATAGCTGCCGAAGTGAAGGCCTTAGTCGTGCTTCCTGTGAAAAACAGAGTGTGCTCTGTCACCGGTTGGAACGTGAGAGTATCTGAGATACCATAACCCTTTGTGATCCTGTTGTCAATTTAAACTCAAAGTGCAGAACTAACATTTGAGAAGCGGGGTCGCTCACTTTCGAGAATATTTCACCGTGAGAGACTGCAACGGCAAGACCAGGAATGTCGAAGTGTTCAAGCACCCATTCGACTTTCTGATCGAAGCCTGCATTGAAGGGTGAAATGTCCTGGTTTACCTGTTCTTTTAGGGGCTTTTGAAAGGTTGCAGAGGCAACTAGGGCAAAGAAAGGAAAGACGAGGGTGGATGCTGGACGCATTTCGGTCGAAGTAATTGAGTGAAGGGACAAGATCTGAAACTTGCTTTATGTAATTAGCTGCCCACAGCTCTTTCTAATGGGAAATATAGGAATGATTCTAAGAGTGGAAAAAGACAATACATCTTAATAGGCAATAGCAATAACTTATATAGCTTTAGGCAGTGAGGTGCTGCACCCCCTGCCATTCTGCCCTTACTAATAATTCTGCTGTAACGTAAATCCCTCTGCAATTGCTCACACTCATGATACTTTGGAGCACAACACCAAGAAAATGAATAAAACTGATAGTCATTGTAATAAAAGCAAAATAATATTAATTCAACAATACTCTTTTCTATATACTCCGATTCCACCCAAAATTATGTGGGTCATTGTGCATATTCCGTTGCGAGAATTGCCCCCGTTTGCTCTGAGGATATCCGTAGTAATTCGGTCAAACCCATTATCCAGTGACAAAAATTTGTTTCTTGGTGGGTAAACACATCCCAACAAAAGTCCTATGAGAAGCTATATCCTCTACTAGCATCACCCTTGGAGGGGATATGGGCCTTGTCATTTCTGTCGCCTTGGAGATGTGGGGACTTCTCTGGTGTCTTTTGTGACGATCACCAATGGCCAGAGATAAGATAGGGGAGACATCGGTGAATTGCCGAGAGTGCATGAAACTATGATAAGAGACAGAATAGACATAAAAGATAGCGCTGTTAGATAAGGTACAGGACTTTCATTATCTCTCCTCAAAGAGAAACGCATATCTCACCAGAGCAACTGATTGTTCTCCTTTTTGGGAACTACCTGGCATAGTACCTACCCAAGGTCCCACTGAGTGACCGATCGCCACCTCACCTCTACTCTTGTGCAATATATTGCGGGGGTGGAGCACGTCCAGTAGAGGTTAGGAAACTCTAGCTGGCTCGTGGCCAGATAAATAGATGCTCTTCCCCGCATTTTCCAAACTCTATTGTCAAGCACTTCCATCATGTCCGTCTCCCATTCCCCAAGACCACTACTGCCGTATCAGCCCTTCCAATGTGCCGTCTGTCATAGTCGGTTTACCCGGCACGAGAATCTAAAGCGACATGCAGCCCTGCATTCTCGGTCTCCGGGTCAGGCCTTGCTTCCCTGTGACTATTGCAAGACGACGTTCTCTCGGCCTGATCTACGCCATCGCCATATTAAGAGGAAACACCCGGAGCATGAACTGAGACGATCCACAAAACATGCGAGACATTTACGTGATCATCGTGCCAATGACAACAGCAATAACAGAGAGAAAACAGGTCCTTCTGCAAATAGGCCTGCAATCAACGACGCGATTGGTCCTGGAGAGATTGTGCCAGATGTACCCGAGCTTGATTGGGACATCCTGCTCGGTGCATCATTGCTGGCGCCTGCGCTTCAAAATCAAAAGACCGATTCCCCGTCGCCTTTATCCAACGTGGGTCCGACAAGCTTCCTCTTTGATGCGGATCTGGCCGATGAATCACTACCGCATGATCTGACACGAGTAGAGGACAATTGGTCCCCCTCAGCTGTACAAATAACACAGGGATGCGACCTCTTCTTCACTCACGTTTCATATTTCATCCCTTTCGTTCACAAACCCACTTTCGAGGCAACACAACAGCCCCCCCACCTGATACTCAGTATTCTGTGTCTGGCCTATCAGCACGGAGAGGATCCTGAATGCAGCAATCAGGTGGGGTCCGGCGCGATATTGTCCACCCGCTGCTTCAACCAAGCTCGTTCTATTATCGCTTTCGACGACAATATGCTGGATGATCCAACACAAAGCCTTGCAATAGTTCAGTCATATCTTCTACTTCAAATCTGCGCGATGATGTATATGTGCGGCGATCACTCCGCCGATGGTTTGAAAATGCATTCCAATATGATCTCTCTCGCTCGATCAGCAGGACTTATGCAACCCTTCGCTGCCTCATCACTTACCACCGAAGACCTCAATTCCTTATGGCACGAATTTATCCAGGGCGAGACCCGCAAACGAACCCTTTTCACCGTCCACCAGATCGACGCCCTCTGGTATCAATTGCTCTCCATCCCGCGGTCAATCTCCCACCTAGAAATCAAACACGACCTTCCCTGCCCCGAGGACCACTGGACTGCGTCATCGAGCGCGGAATGGGCGCACCGTCAGCTTATATCGCGATACCATCCAGGAAGCTCAGTCCAGTACGCCGACGCTGTCAGGCGGTTCCTCTCCCCGGACGGAGACCTCGCTTCCATCCCGCGCTTCGATCCCTTCGGCGCTATCAACATCGCCCACTTCCTTATCTCGAGTGCACGCGAAATCTCCGGCTGGTCAACCATGACGGGAATGCTGAGCATGGAGCGATTTGGAGCGTTGCGGAACTCCCTCATGGCACTATCTCCGTTTCTTTGCCAGCGGGGGCATGAGGATGAACCCACCGCGACAACGACAGCTACAACCCCAGCCGCTGCCTCCTACGCAGCAGTCTGGGAAAGCGCCATGCTCGAGCTACAAATGTGGTCTCCCCTGCATACAGGCGGCGTGGTCGGAGCCAGCATCGATGCTTGGTTGAGTCAGTCGACGCAGATGGCGCTTTCATCTTGCGAGGTTCTCTGTGAAGTTGATACTGCGCAGGCAATTCAGCCGCATGTTGACTGGTTCCTGAGGTACCTTGATACGATGCCGGCGCCGGAATCAGAGGCACCGTGGATCACACTGCATGCGTACAGGGCGTTTCTGATTGCCTGGCAGTTGGTGAGAAACGGGGTACCTGGGGCAATGCAGGTTGTTGGAGTCGAGGATGGGCATGAGCAGGGTGCGTTGGAATGGGCGAGAAAGGTCTTTCGAGGGAAAGAGAGATGGCAGATTGGAAGGCTTATTGCCGCCTGCTTGGATGGATTAAGGATATAATCTATCGTATATACTTTTATGTGACTATTCGGGTACATGAACTCTATTCCAAGTTCTCATGACCTCGCAATATCAAACTCCGCCATATACCAGTTCTGAATGGCCTTTGTATCGCCCGTAATGGCAACAGTATCATACCGCTTCCTTGCGTCCTTCGCCAGCGCCCCGTTGTTCACCATCCTCCCAACCCACTTCCCATACTTCCTCCCCGCCGCGATAATCTTCTCGACAGCAGCCACAAACTCTGGCTCGTCGCCGCGCGCAGGGACATATCCCAAAAGCGATTGCGCAAGGTCATTGGGTCCAATAAAGACCATATCCACGCCAGGCACAGCACAAATCTCATCAACGTTCTCAACTCCCGCTCTCGTCTCGATCTGAATCATTGTAAGGATCGTCTCGTTCGCAGAAACCATATATTCTGGCGTGGTCAACCCGTGCCCGATAGCCGGGAACGCCGAGCCCTGGCCACGCACGCCCTGCGGAGGAAACTTCGACGAGGCAACGACCTGTCTCGCTTCGTCCGCGGTGTTGATCTGAGGCACCATGATCCCGTGGGCACCAGTGTCGAGAGCGCGCTTGACGATGTCATGCGCTGGGCCGCGGATACGGATGATCGGGGAGACGCCGAGGGAGGAGATGGCTGCGACGGCGTTGTGCATTGCGTCGTCGCTGATGTGGCCATGTTCGCAGTCAATGATGATGCCGTCCACGCCGGTTAGGGCGATTATTTGCGCCATGCGTACGGAGGGGATGGCCATGAATGTCATGAGCGGGTATTCCCCGGCTTTGAGTTTGTTGAGCAGCCGGAGGCGGGGGTTGGCGATGGTGGTCGTGTGGGCAGTTAGATAGGTCATTGTGTCAGTGTTTGCGATTCCGGATGGGTTGAAAAAATTTCCATTATGTTAATACTAGTGAGGCATGCCTTTAAGTATAGATTTTCAGGACTTTCGCTCTCTAAGTGGTGTCGATGTACTGCATACTCCATCATACGTTAGCCATCACCGTATGGAGCACAGCGAAAGCTTATCGGGAGGAGCTCCGCACTACTTTAAGGCCGGCTCCCCCGCCGCACTGAAGAACGCCGGGGCTCCTCCCTTATCTTTTGACTATCACTGCGGTCTTAGTGGAAAGCAAGACTTTTTGAATGGATAAACTTCAGTCTACTTTGGCACCAGTTCGGGACGTTTTGAGCTCTGAGAGCAGTAGATGACCGTCAAGGTGCTCTCCGGCTACTTATAAGTCATTGCTGTCCTGGACGGGAGTCCGAGGATGCATTTCTCATGCAGACAATTTGCTCTTAAAGTCTACAATGGACACTAAAAAACGCCCCCCGTCTGTCCAAATTGCGGACAAAGCATCATGTGCAGAAGGACAAATCTCGCCCCTGCATCGGATGCCTGAGACCCTTCGCAGCCTCAGCGAGGATGATATGCGTGATCTCAACCGGAAGATCGTGCGCAAGGTAGATTTACTTGTCCTCCCGACTATCGGTATCCTGTACATCCTGAACTACATCGACCGACAGAACCTTGCCGCGGCCAAGCTCCAAGGGATCACCGAAGATCTGCATATGACCACTGAACAGTTTGCCACGGCCGTCTCCATTCTCTTCGTCGGCTACTTGCCATTTCAGATCCCGAGCAACCTCCTCATCACAAAGATCTCCCGTCCAGGCATGTACATATGCTGCGCTGTGACGGTCTGGGGCTGTATCTCGGCGGCGACGGCTGCAGTCAAGAGCTACGGTCAGTTGCTGGCGGTGCGAGCCATTCTGGGCATGGCCGAGGCAGTCTTCTTTCCCGGAGCCATCTACTACCTCTCAGCGTGGTATACAAAAAGAGAGCTTGGAAAGCGTATTGCGGGGCTATATATCGCACAACAAGTCGGCAACGCGTTTGGAGGGCTCTTAGCGGCGGCCATTCTCCAGCTCAACGGTATCCACCACATCGCCGGCTGGCAATGGCTCTTCATCATCGAGGGTAGTGTGACGGTAGGTGCAGGCGTCATCTGCAGTCTTATCATGCCCGAGTTCCCTCACAACAGCCGCATCCTCTCCCCGCTGGAGCGTGATCTCGCCGTCTGGCGTATCGAGTCCGAGGCCGGAGCCGCAGAAGGCAGCATCGAGAACGAGCATGAAAGCGTCCTCCGTGGGTTTGCCAATGCCCTCTCCGACCCGAAGCTCGTCCTCCTCATCCTGGCCAACATGCTGTCGCAAACCCAGGGCTCCATTGCAAACTACTTCCCCACCCTCGTCGCCTCCCTGAACTTCTCGCACACGGTGAGCCTGCTCCTCACCGCGCCACCGTACATCCTCGCCGGCGGCGTCTATTACGGGATAATGTTCTACTCCGACCGCAAAAACACCGTGTACCCTGTCATCCTCGTCTGCGTCGCCATTTCTATCACCATGTACATCATCTCCATGACCACCCTCAACGTCGGCGCGCGGTACTTCTCCATGATGATTTTACCATTTGCGTCCGTCGGCCCGCAACTCCTCCTCTACAAGACTATCAACCTGCACCTAGCCCGACCAATCTCTAAGCGTGCGGCTGCCTCGGCACTGGTCAATGCCATTGGCGGCACGTCGAATATCTGGGCCTCATATTTGTACTACTCGTCCCCTCACTTTTATGCGGCGTTTGGTGCGCTAATGGGTGCGGCTGTTTTGCTGGCGTGCACAGTAACGGTTTATCGGTGGTTGGTTCGGAGGGAGAATGCGAGGCTGGATTCTGGAAAGCCAGAGGAAATTGCCAAGGTTGTGAAAGGGGGTGTGACGGAGGAGATGGTGCAAATGGGGTGGCGGTACGAGATGTATTGATTGAGTGCTGAAGGGGATGTTCTGATGTTCCTCTGATTAGCTACTTGCCTGTGTGGTCCCTGGCTCTGTATTTTTGTTCTGATGCCAATCTGTTGATATAGCAAATGGAATAATCTTTATACTGGAGTCTGGTATAGTAGTACTATGTAGACACATCCAGTTTTCTACTCATGTCGGTCTTCCCTGGCAGCAAGCTAGGTTTAACCTCATGCAGCAAATTCGGTTTGTTTGTCTTCACTTATGCTGTTGTCTAGTTATTAATCATATAGTGAACGGATGACATTATCCTATCAACAACTCATATGCGAATTTTCCACCAATCTTTGGCACATCGGAAACATATAAATTCTTCTCGTGAATGAGCTTCCAAACGGCTAAACCTGCGCAATACATTCTATCTCAATCACCGTCCCGTCGCCAGGAGGCAGCGCCTGAAGACACGAGCGCGAAGGCATCGGCTTTGGAAGAAAATCAATGTACACTTCATTCATCGCCGCGAAATCCTTCATATCGGCCAGATAGACATTATACTTTACCACCTGTTCCAGGGATGATCCGGCCAGCTCGAGGACTTCCTTTAGGTTTTGCAATACCGTGCGCTGTACATGGTTTAGCATCAGGATGATTGTTGAGGTGGTATACTGCTGCATGTGAAGACTCACTGTCGCTTGCTTAATCTCGCCGGTAGCGGTCTGTCCGGCACAGAAGACGAGGCCTGGGACCTTGACGGCGGGACCTATAGTAATTAGGCATCCTGGCTGATTTGATCAACCGGTGAGATTGAGTACTCACAGTTGTGTGGCTTGGGAGGGTACTTTTCGCTGGAGATCAATTGACGGGACATCGTGGCAGACTGAGTAGAAACTGGATTGCAGTGATTGAAGATAGGATGTGAGATGAGATACGACCGTAAATGACTCCTAAATCCCCTTATGAATAAGGTTAACTAAAGACTGGTCCTCACGTTTTCTACATAACGTGTCGATTCTACTCCGCCCAAGGGGCGCTCCGCCCTAAGTTGGGAGGAGCTCCTCCGCCCCACAGTACTCATCGAACCAGGGCTGTTATCCCTGTCAAGGTTAACCCTATACCAAAAAGCCGATAAGATTACGTCTGAATAGTTGCAAGAGAGGAGCTCCAGAGGAAGAAAGGAGCTGATGGAGTAGATTGACTGTCCACGAAGATGGAGGTGCAGAGGTAGGTATGGGACTTGTCCTGCCACTCATATGATCAAGTTGTCCATCTGGAGATCAAAGTTGGAGAAAGTGTGCCAATATAAATGTGCGACGAAATAATAGTATAAAGTGGCCTGGAAAGTCATCGGACCTGTCTTTACAATCAACTACACGTATACCGTCAAGATCAATCAGAGTAAATCAACCGAAGTCATGGCACCTACTGCTCCGTTCAGTCCCCCTCCCACTACTGGTAAACCTTTTGTCCCCGAATGGATCCCTCCTCCAGTGACCAAGGAAAAACACAACTTCGCTCAACTCAAGTCGATTGACCTCTCGCTGCTGGACTCTGATGACCCGGCTGTCGTTGAGAATCTCGTTCAAAAGGTTAAGGTAGCCATCCGCGATGACGGATTTCTGTTCCTGGAGAACTACGGAATTTCCCTAGAGCAGGTAAGAGCTCTCCCAGTTATAGGCGATGGAGAAAGGAGATGGCTGACAAATACCTCATGGTACTTAGCTCCATCGTCAATTTGCTCTAGCCCAATATCTCTACAACAACATCAGCGAGGAAGACAAAGAACGCCTTCTTTTCGACCCCGACACCGGCGTTTGGTCCGGTTATAAGCACCCTTATGGATTCAAGGTTGGCCAATACACTGTATAGTAGCATTTTATGATTATACTAATTCTTGGTCAGCGCCATCGCGGCACCCCCGACGGCATCGAACAATTCAACTGGTACAAGCCCGAGTGGGAAGACATTAATCGCGTACCCCGATGCCTCCACCCCTTCATGGACGAGATCGAGGCATTCTGCAACTACCTCACCCAATCTGTCAACCGCCGGCTCCTCACCCTCTTCTCGCGCGTCCTTGAGTTACCTGACAATTACCTTTGGGACAACGTGCAATCCCACGGCGGCCCAACGGGTGAAGGTTACTTTCGGCACGCGCTCTTCCGCCCCATCCAGAAACAAACCGAAGAGGCGTCCAAGGGTCTGCGCATGCACGGCCACACCGACTTTGGACTGACGACTTTGCTGTTCTCGGTCCCGATCTCATGTCTTCAGATCTGGGGCCGCGATGAACAGTGGTACTATGTGCCGTATAAGCCTGGTGCCCTGGTGATCAACATCGGAGATACACTGGAGATTGTCTCGGGGGGTCATTTCAAGGCAACTCGACACCGAGTTTTCAAGCCGCCAGTGGATCAGTTGAATGAAGAGCGTTTGTCGCTGGTGTTGTTCAACAGTTCGGTTGGTGATTTGCGGATGGCGCCGGCGTATGGTGAGTGTGCCTGTAGTCTTTCTGGGTATACGGTCGTGCTGATATTAAAGCAGAGTCACCACTCATTCAACGGGAGGGCTGCATCGAGGAGCAAGGCGTCTACAAAGAGTTCAAGAACCTCACCGCTCAAGGAAAGCTGGTCCCTACCAATCGTCAATGGCGCGAGATTCAGATTGCCACCTGCACGGATCCCACCGATACAGTTCGCAACAGGGTCGGTGCAGACCAGGTCCTCATTGATGGCAAGATCATGCATCAGAGGGAATACATGGGCGTCAAAGTTGTTCTGCCTGTTTGAGAGTGACCGGCCTGGGAGGAATACCAGATGTTAGGGAAGATATTGTCATACAGTAGCTAAATCATGCAGATGTTAATTACAAATTGTATTCTAGCCTTATCTCAGACATATTCCTCCCTTGGATTTCCCACTATTGGCTACGATAGAAACCTGCTCAGTTTCGAGCGGAGTACAGGCAAGGGTACATACTATTTGGTTACTGCTAAGATTATCATATTCCTCTGGCTCTGGGAGAGTTTGGCTAACATCCTAAGGTGAAAGGATGGTGAGAGATGGTACAGTCACTAGATCTACTCTTCCGGATGTATAGTTGATTCCCGGAGCTTATTCCTGGTAGATAGATCAGCAAAAAGCTGCTCCCCTCAGAGGTATAGTTTAGACCATACCGCGTGGCCATATCGCCTAGTGTCTCCTGCGACATTGTGTCCTTTGCCACGGCAAGAGACAGATTACCCTGCCAGTAGGGTGAATCCGGCATCGCCATGTCTAACCCGGCGTTCGCACTATTGATACCCGTGAGCTAGGCATTCCAATCACTGACGACGAAGCCTTGAAATCCGAGCTCAGTTTTGAGAAGGCCATTGAGAATCTTGCTATTCTGGCACGCGTATGAATTATTCACTCGGTTATACCTGAGACCATCAATAAGGAGATTTATTGCTTGTTATGAAACGACTCGGAATCCGACTCACAAGCACATGACTGAGCCAACTCCCGCATAGACCGCGTTCGCGAATGGCCAGAGGTACAGCTCATGCATGGTTTTGTCATCAATATTGGACGAGTAAGAGGCATTATTCCCCTCGGCCCCTCTGGCAGTTTCCTGGTCGTAGGCTATGAAGTGCTTCACCGACATTTGTAAGCCTTGAATTATCTCGGCTACAAGCACTCCAGCCAGGTATGGGTCAGCACTAAATCCTTCCCAGTTACGTCCACCGCGAGCAGTTCTGCCTAATGGACTAATAACTGGGCCTGAGGTTGACGCCTTGACCTGCCGATGTGGCGACCAAACGAGAACAAAGACCTGGATAACCAACGAAATGTTCCTGCTATTGACCATTTCCCTCAAAATTGAAGAATACTCGGGAGGCATGACTAATTCGTGTGTGACTACGTCGATGATTATGAAAGTGATATTGTCGGTAGAAGTAGGACATTTGGTATGGCAAGTCAGTATATAAACTCCTGTTTCAAAGGGCACAGCTATTCCTAACCAACTTTGAATGGATAGGGTAATAAATAAGTACGTCGGTAGACTAAGCTGACGTCGTATTCGTACGGGATACTACTTCGGTATAAGGTACGGAATGTGGCCGTAGCCCGTGCAGGTTATACGGATACTCAAGTTAACTTGAGGAATACGTTGCATACTTCATTGCGAAGGATTCGACAGAAGCGCGAGGAAACCCTGGCGCTCTACCGAGACACACGCAAGAGATTCTTAGCACTAACCACGGAGTTTAGCTTGCGAAACACCCATAGATTCGAATAACCAATTAGGTCGACCAAGGGGGACTTACATTCGATCAATATAGTTTCATCGATGATCTTTTGGTTCCCAAACTGTTGGGAAGTGCTCGGACCGGAGACACGTTGATTGCGAAGGCCGCGTTCCAAGCCCGGAAGAGCCGCAGGAAACGTCATTTTTGGCAGGGCAAGCCCCCGAACGGGGACGATCCTACATTTTTCCAGATATCCCTCCACATCATAACAATCAAACCAGTCACCTCGCATGTCAAGGTCGACTCGTTCTGTCGCAACCTGTATTACGCTCGGCTGGAACGAAACATTGTCGGCGTCATAGCTCCTCTGGTTGTGTTTAAAATGCGTTCCTGCGCCACCAATACTGAAAAAAGGGATGTTCAGCTCCATACGGGTTCCGTGATGTCCACCACATAGAAATTCCTCCAAATGCGCTCTGATATTGTGTAGGGTAAAGACTCTCAGAGGAAGCCTGAATTTGTATGTGAGTTCCTCAAGCTGATAAGGCGGATTCGTTAGACACCGATGACCTTGTTCGACACAAGCACGATAGAGTCGGTGGGCGAAACTTGCTCCTTCCAGGCTATATGTGCTGGAAGACGGGGTATTCAAGAACGACGGCGTTGAATAAAGGGGTGTTGCTTGTGTTGGTATTTCCGGTACTGCAAGGTTAGATTGTTGGGTTATCTGGGCGGGGTATTGGCTGCTATCCTCTCGCTGAGCCGGTACGGCAGACTCTAGGATGTCAGGAAGAGTGACATTGGCGACATCATGGGTGTCGTTAGCATTAGCTACATCCTGCTCCGTCGCATCAAGAACACCTGCGTTCGCTTTTGTCTCTGGCACATTTGTCTCAGCATTGGCGGGGTCAGCGTCATCTTCTGCCACTGAAACTGCCCGATTCGTAAGTGATAGAGATTGCGCTATCGTTTGGTGGAGTCTTCGCGCAACATCCGGGTATGTTAACAAGACGCCGGATTTCATCAGATCGTCGGTGAAGGATAGAAATGTCTCATTCATTCGCTCCACAAGCATATCCAGTTCATGAACACGAGCCTTCAGTGCTTGTAGCTCGGCCTCCTTTCGTGAGCGATATGCACGCTGTGCTAACCTGATCTGGGTCCTCCGCCTCTTTGCTTCCTGATCAGCGTGTTTGGATTTTCGACAGCTGGGAAGACCCTACATTTGGGGACTCATCTTGCCTGATCTGGTTTCTTCGACGACCCCTTTTCCTCCGCTCAGTATGATCCTCAGTAACAGAAGAAATTGGGCAATCTGCCATCTTCGGCGAGAGAGGATATGTAGTTGAAGGCACTGTCCGTCTCTCTTTCCCTTGCCTGTCCGGACTGACCAAGCGATCGCACCTGGGAAAGAGAAGGCCGCTTAGTAAAGGCCCTTTGTAAGAGATAAACACCGTCCTGCCTCAAGCGTTTAGAGAGTTCGACGTGTCGCCAAGTATGCGTAGGGAAGACACCGCCGTCAGGGGAAAGATGAATGAGACCGTTTATTTCACTGACCTGGTGCTGCTGTATACTATCTTGATGTCTCCTTGAAAAGACTTAAAATATCGCAGGTCGACCGCTGACGGCCTTGCAATGGCGGGACCCGGTGTGACTCAGGTTGAAGTGTTTTGAGTTAACCATGGACCGGTGGATAATGGGCACGAATACGATTCTTGGTAATGACGCCATCTCTTACTGGTCGGATTTGATTACTATTCTGCCCGACTCCAAACGGGGCCTTGTCGGATCACGTTTCAACGAAGGTTACGACACAACATCAGTACTGGTTACTATTCATCCCTTGTCTCGAACACTCGAACACCACGGGGAATAGTAACTGGCATTCTCGAGTTATAACTAGCACTTTGATCTCCGAACTGAAAACCCAATGACAAAGTTATCTGCTAGATCAGTAGTCGTTGTTCAGCTGAATGAATGCAGAGATTTAATACTTTGTCTTCCTAACGAAGATGCTTCATTCTAACATCTGAATGCGTTGTCTTTCTGCTGCTGACAATAAATCAGCATAATCCTGTAGTCAATCTTATCCAATATCAATGACCAGGACATAAAGCGCCATGGTTTCGGGGAAACCCGTTGAGAATTCCAAATACAGTTTTCCAAGTATGGCCGCGACCGATCTTTTGGATATACCGCCTTCCTAGCAATGGAACACCTGTTCTTGCCCTACAACTGGAAACCACCCAATCCGCTTCTACATCGCATTTCCGTACTAGCAGAGAAGGGACTGCAATAATACTGTGGTTTGTCTGCTTCCCTACGCTAGCTACATTATCACCTCTAAATCACTGTGATATACGTAGTTACGTTGTGTCTCAAGTGATTGCTCTTTCGGGGCAATTCGAATGATAGCAAGCCTGTTAAAATATAATACCGCTATGACTATGGATATGAGACCCTAGATTGATGAGGACCATGTCCGGACGCCTTTTTGGCCTAGTGGTATTATATTCCAATAAAGCCTTATAGTAAAGCGGTCAGCCGTGATCAGAATGGTTTGGAACTTCTTGTCCTTAATCTGCCACCCGCGACTACCAAAGGCGGTGGGTCCCAGCAATAAAGCCTCTCTACTAATAGGACTCAAAGACCGGAATTTATAGTAATCATTCCGGTCGGACGTGCTCAGTAATTCAGTTAAGCCGGTTTAACTAACTCATCATTCCGTAAGGAGGTTTAATGTTGAGTAATTGAGCGAACTATGATTATGCTGTCAGGGAAGGATTCTAGTGCCCTCTTCTGCCGAAGATATGGTACAGCGTGGAATGGTCATCGGGATCAAGAAAGCAATATAATAATTAGGGGTTGTGCCACCGATACAACCTCCTTTTGGATTATTATTTTTATAAATTGGTGGGTAATTACTGATTTCCCGCGAGTCTATACCTCTTTACGCAGTTCATAACGACTGCACCTTTACCACATCCGGCTGGCCTCAAACATGGCCTCTGGTTCATCAAGCTTGCATGCAGAGTCCACAATTGCTGATGAAGGACTACAACCCGCAGATGTCAAGGGTGATACGGAAAATGCATCCATCTATCATACCCCAGCGACATGGCACATGGCATCCGAATTGCGCCAAATTAGGGAACGGGATGAAGACGGTGGGGAGAAGCCCAAAATGCTCGGCGTCGCCTGGAAGGATCTCACTGTCAAAGGCGTTGGCGGCAACGCTATTTTCAATGAGAACGTCCTCTCTCAGCTTTTCCCTTTCCATAGGGGTGGCAAAGGCATCAAAACCAAGACCATCATTGAGAGTTCGTTCGGATGCGTTAAGCCTGGGGAGATGTTGCTCGTTCTGGGGCGGCCTGGAGCGGGTTGCACTACCCTCCTGAACGTACTCGCAAACAATCGTCTGGGCTACGAAGAGGTCAACGGAGACGTCAGCTATGGGAACATGTCTGCCGTGGAAGCCAGGCAGTACCGTGGGCAGATTGTTATGAACACGGAGGAGGAGATCTTTTTTCCGACCCTGACCGTTGAAGACACGATCGACTTTGCCGCTCGCATGAAGACGCCATATCATCTGCCGCATGGGATTTTGACTCATGAACAATATGTCCAGTTCTATAAGGATTTTCTCCTGCGCTCGGTTGGAATCTCTCATACCGCACGGACGAAGGTCGGTGATGCCTTTATTAGGGGTGTTTCGGGAGGAGAGAGAAAACGTGTCTCAATTCTAGAGTGTCTCACTACTCGTGCTAGCGTCTTTTGTTGGGATAACTCGACAAGAGGCCTTGACGCCAGCACGGCTCTTGAGTGGATCAAGGCCATCAGGGTGATGACCGATCTCCTCGGGCTCAGTACAATTGTCACTCTCTATCAAGCGGGTAACGGCATCTACGAGCATTTCGATAAGGTTCTGCTCCTTGATGAGGGCAAACAAATCTACTACGGGCCTCAAAAAGACGCTGTCCCATTCATGGAGGGCCTGGGCTTCATGCGTGATCCGGGTTCCAACCGGGGAGATTTCCTGACAGGCGTGACAGTTCCTACTGAGCGCGTCATTGCCCCTGGACATGAAGACAAGTTCCCACGCACCGCCGACGAGATCCGCACTGCTTACGAACAGTCCCATATCAAGCCCATGATGCTGGAAGAGGCCCAGAACTACCCGACAAGCAAAGAAGCGGCTGACAACACAACCATATTCAAAGAAATGGTTGCTCGTGAAAAGCATAGGGGTGTGTCCAAGACGTCCCCCGTCGCTACTGGTTTCATCACTCAAGTAACGGCTGCCATTATCAGGCAGTACCAGCTTATGTGGGGTGACAAGGCGACTCTACTTATGAAGCAAGGCGCTACAGTTATCCAGGCACTCCTCGGTGGTTCTCTCTTCTATTCGGCCCCTGACAATTCTATCGGCCTTTTTCTCAAGGGCGGTGCCCTGTTTTTCTCTATTTTATACAATGCTCTTATAGCCCTATCCGAGGTTACCGACTCATTCACAGGCCGACCTATTCTCGCCAAACACCGCTCTTTCGCATTGTACCATCCGGCGGCTATCTGCATCGCCCAGATTGCTGCTGATTTACCTGTCCTATTATTCCAGGTTACGAATTTCGGCCTTATCCTATATTTTATGGTT